GTGCCTCTGTAATGCTGCCATCGTAAGAATTGTCCTGTTCAATAAACCTGTCAGCAGCAGCATCCAGTCCAACCCAAAAGTGTATGATTTTATTGCAGCGAGTTTGCAACAGACCAATAAAATGTTAAGAGATGACACAATACAAAAAACTTTAAATGACTTTTAAAGACTTATATCCACAATACTTTGTACAGGTTGAATGTTACCTTCCCTGGACACTCTTGTGTCCTTCTTATTTTCTCCTCCCTGTCTTTTCTCTTGGATATTTTTTGTATGCTAATGGGGGTAGTTGCAATTATATGCTGTAGTGTTAATAATAGTTGTGGCTCTACATTTGAGTTATTGCTGAGGGTTTCGGAGGGTGAAGGTTGGAAGGCTGGGGATAAAGGTTGGCTTTGGAGATCAACCGTTATCCCCAGAAAATATCTTAACATGCATTTTTAGACTAAGGTATTTTGGAAAGTATCTTAAAAGGCATTTCAATGATCAGGATAGAAAATCCCTCTTCCCCTTTACTTACCTTACAAGTCCCCAATGCTTTAACACGTTTTCTTAAAGCTGGCCCATTTTTTGATTCTGGAATTGGGTAGGGAAGAGAGTAGACTCTCAAAGCAGCAGAGTGCAGGAAAGTAAGGAAGGGGAGGGGGCAAAGTCCCCTCCCTTGCATGCTCTGTTTAGTCTGAAATACTTTCTTGACAGCTGTGTTGAGGAGCATGTACTGAATAAACACACGTGCAGGTCTAGTTTGGTCCTTGGAGGCCTCTAGGCATCCTCAAAACAGAACAGATTACAAAAACAACAGTTTTGAGATATCTGAATATTCCTTTCCTGTTTCCATATCCAATGTTTTACTACATGCTCAATTTATAATAGTGACAGCAATAGCTATCAGTTCTATTTATTGTGTTAAGCATTGTGCTGTACATAGAAATAACATGAAGCTTTCCCCAAGGAATTATAGGTTAAGATTGCAATTCAGTGCAGTTCCCTGGAGGCAAGCCCCATTCAGAATATCAGGAGTTACTTTTGAGTAACATTCTAGTAACCTGACAGTAGAAAACATTATGGGGAGGACAAAGATATGATGGATCAGAAATTTATTCTAGGTTGTGAGTTTTCCGGACTGTATGGACATGTTCAAGAAGCATTCTCTCCTGATGTTTTGCCTGCATCTATGGCAGGCATCCTCAGTGATTGTCAGGTCTTGGAACCTCTGAGGATGCCCACCATAGAGGCAGGCAAAACATCAGGAGAGAATGCTTCTGGAACATGGCCATGCAGCCTGGAAAACTCACAACAACCCAGTGATTCCGGCTATGGAAGCCTTCAACAATAAAATTTTATTCTACTTTTGGAAAAAGGGGAACTTCGAAGAGAAAAAAAAATGACTTGAAAAAAAGATGGGGAGGCTTTGTTATTTTTGCATCATGGTGCCTATTTCTGGTGCTTCAAAATGTTAGAAACAATTAATAGCCTTGCCAAAATATATAACCACTAGGAAGCCTTAGTGCCTTCAGAAAAATTAATGTCAATAGCAGAGATCAGAAAGTCAACATGGTATGGTTTTTCTTTTCTCCCCCACCCCCTCCCCAATTTGATTTGATGAATATTTGAAGCTTTGCCAATAGTAAACTGGATAGATTTCACAGGATGTTCTACAGGGCAAATAACTGAGAACATCCACAATCTTACTCTGCTATTAGTCAGATATATTTGTTATTGCTGAAGGCTTGTGAGCACTGCTTGAGTTCATCAGCAGGTCTGGAAACAAATGGCTAGCTCTTTTGTTCACCTCTTTCATAAATCGTAATGGGTTTGCTTCAAGCGACTTGGCCCACTATTTAAGTTGGAACTCTTCTCAACAGTGGACCTTGTAGACCGTTTGTATGTTCCCTGAATCATTCTGTAAGCAGAATGAAATAAAGCGACTGCTCAGAGGTTACATGAGCAAGCAAAGACATAGTTCAAGATCCCAGCTCAGAAATGAAAATAAATGTGCAGGGCATCTTGGTCAGATTTCTGGTAATGAATATTGTATTTATCAGCTGAAGAGAGGCCTCAGGCCCTGCTGGATAATTTAGTGGAACCTTATGTGGAGCAAGCCTGCACACAGTGTGTTTGATTCTTTCAGGAGGGAATAATTCACTAAATTAAATGTAATTTTGTAGCACTTAGCTGTACTGTTCAGTGTGTACCTTTGCTTTTCATTCATGGAACACAAGAGATAATGAGCTAGAGAGATAATCATCTTTGGTAGACATTTATCTGTGAAATAATTTAGGAGATTTTTAAAAAATCACCAGGAAATTATAAAAGATTAATGGCTCCCTCTGGTTGTTTGATGAATGCGTGGAGACGTGCAAGTCTGTGAGAGATGTAGGATGTCAACTTGCTTGTTTTACATATTTGTTGTTGACTGTCTCAATTTGTTTGTGTATGTTTTTTTAAAAAAAAAACTTGTCATAATTTTACAAGGTTACAGCAATACAGATTGGCAAGCCTTTAGAAATCATAGCTAGTAAGAGCTACCTTGGTGAGTTTTTAAAAACACTCACAGTAGTAGTAATTTTAACACAGGTGTTGTAGTCCTGATTGACAAGCTTTGTTGGTCAGTTATTAATTTTCATACTTTGTGTAGATTTCCTCAGTGTCATTTTAGACTACAAGAAGGATGACTATCATATTAGGTATCAGAGTGTGGCTCCTGGGGTTTTACTAGAATATAGATATCCTAGCAAATGCTGAAGGATGTACAGTATTTTTGGTTCACACACTTGCTGGATGAAATCTGAGAATGGGATGGAAATAAGTCCTGGAAACACAGAATAATATGCAATTACTGTAACATTTCTCACATTTAAAGTGCTTTTTTCGTGTCAGGAGTGACTTGAGAAACTGCAAGTTGCTTCTGGTGTGAGAGAATTGGTCGTCTGCAAGAACGTTCCCCAGGGGATGCCCAGATATTTTGATGTTTTACCATCCTTTTGGGAGGCTTCTCTCATGTCCCCACATGGGGAGCTGGCACTGACAGAGGGAGCTCATCTGCGCTCTCCCCGTATTCGAACCTCTGACTTCGAACCTGGCCAATATACTTTGTCGGTCTTCAGTCCTGCCGGCACAAGGATTTAAACTATTATACCACCAGGGGCTCCTATTTAAAGTGCTATTTACATGCCTTTTTAAAAGATTGCAGTGTTTGATCTTACCATTGAATAGTAAAGTCTGATCATGGAGTAGGGCTGGAGTGATGGTCTCGGTGATGGCTGGGGGCATCTGTGGTAGCCTGGCGAATCTATTGTGGAGTTTTTCTCCCAATTTTAACAGAATTATTTTGAATCCTATTTCCAAAATAGATCCAGGCCTTAAACAGCTCTTTTAAAGTTTTTACTAAAACTTATAGCAAAATCATCACGGCGCAGACATGGAAACACCAGCACTTTCTGTTCTATTGATGCAGAGAAAACATCAATGCTGTTGTTAATGCTGCAAAGTAGTGAGCTAGTTCTTGGCTGAGAGCTGTTGGCTCCCAGTCCGTGACAGGTTTTCAGGAAGGAAGGAAAGCGCTGTAACCAGTGACTGCAAATATGGTGCTGGTCACTGGTGCATTGGGGAAAACAGCACTTGCTGATCCATCACATTAGCTTAAGAATCAGATGCAATCTATGAGTGGTTAAACGCTATACCTGCTGTTTTTCTGTCTCCTACACATCTACATACGAAAAGTGTAGAAAATCTCTCTCTCTCTCTCTCTCTCTCTCTCCCTCTCCAGCTTTTTGATGTTAAGCTTTAATATATGCTTAACTTGTTTTCTGCAACTTTGTTTCACCAATTGTTTACATGCTTTTATAGCACACTTAGAACAAAGGGAATCAGTTCTGTGTTAAACCAAGATACCCAGATAATAGCTGAGTAAATCTTGTGAAACACCTTACCAAATCAAATCAATTTTTTTAGTTGTGCTAATAATTCCCCGTTACCTCGCATAGAAAGTCTGTTTTGCTTGAATGGTTTTGGCAACCCTTTAGAAATAATGAAGACCAGATCAGAGAGTACTGGCTACCAATGTATGAATGTGACAACTTTCTGGCCAATATACTTTGGCAAATAATTCTAAAATAAGAAGAAATAAAAATACATAACGCTATTGAATGAGTCTAAAACAGTCCAAAAATAATTCTGCAAAGTTCTACAAAGAGCCATGGTTTATCCAAATATTGTTTGTTGTTCTTCCAGAATACTTACTGTGAAAACAAGAAAGAAAACAACCAATCATTTTTTGTTTTCCTATTGCTCACCTTTAAGTTAATTTTCAATATGTTACTTGTATATGTTCTAGATTTACTGTTTATTTTCCAAGCTTATTGTCACGTAACTCTTGCTTTCTTAAATGGCTTAACTTTGTTTTGAAAAATGCTTACATCTACCATGTAGCTACTTAACAAGATGGTAAAACTTTAAGAGCTTATTACTTTGAGCTACAGAACAAGAGTAACCATCTTATGAGTTCTAAACAGCATAACAACATGACTTACAACCCTGAAACGTGGATCTCAAATAAATCCCAGTCTCCAAACGTGTTCTGTCTGCAATCTTCCCCGTTATTCCCTGCAAAACCTAGTAGAGTAGAGTAATTTTATTCATCAGCTTTACACTATAGTTCTTTTTTTAACTTCCCACACATTTTAGAGTGAACTTATTAATTGGTTAATAAATGTCTCTGAATAGCTTTATCTACTTACCCACTTTGTGTAAGGTTTGTTCGAGTCATATCAAACATAAATGACTGAGCACTATGGAGAAATTTGCAGCCATGTGACAGAAATCTCAAATGACTTCTACATGTAAGAAATCCAAGACAAGTCATCGTTTTTGCCATTTATTAAACAGGCATGTCTCAAGTTCTGTCTCAGTGTCATTGTTTTCTGCTACCCCTTTTGCAACTCTAACCATGCTGGGTTTTTCTCCTTACTATTATTCATGACATTTCTATTCTTTTCCAGATGTTTGACTGGATCAGCCACAATAAAGAGTTGTTTCTGCAGAGTCACACTGAAATTGGGGTGAGCTACCAACATGCCCTAGATTTACAGACGCAGCATAACCACTTTGCTATGAATTCCATGGTGAGTATATAAAGTGTTTATCTGAGGGCATGTGTGGGACAGAGATGAGAAAATGACTAGGGAAGAAACATCAGTTAAAAGATGACGGAAATGCCTTGTGACTTGGTGAGAGACAAACATTGGATCAATTATTTGGCAGCAGCACTTTTTTCCCTGCCAAATATTGTGTTGTCTCTTCTGAGTTTGCTAGCTGAGAATTCCCTTTATTTAAAAACAAGTGGGGCAATTAAAGCACAATACTCTTAATCAGAACCAATAAAAACAAAGCTCAATGCTTCTTATTAAAATCGTTTCATACTTTACTATTATTTCAACATCCTATATCCTAAAAAGGGACCTCTAAGCAAAGCATCCAGTACAGATAGAATTGGTTGTTTTGCCAGATAATCAATTGTGCAATTAGAGCATAGTTAACTTGTAGCTGACGTATGCATTTCAAATAAAAGGTCACTTTGGTTTTGATGTATTCATGCTGTCTTCTTATCAGGGTTTCTTGACATTCAAATGAAAATGGGAAAGATGTAGCAATGTTGCAGGAAAAATCTACATCAACCCAAATTTCAGGCATTGTATTCATTACACATAGAAATAAGATTGGGAAACACTTTTCCCAATTTCTGTGTGTCACTGGCTCATTGAATCCTGTCAAAAAGATCTCCCATCACAACTTAGCATTGCATCTACATGGATTCAACAATTCTACCACAGAAGTGAAAATATTTTAAATTGTAAGGCAATGCTGAAATTTGATTTTTCCAACATCCAAGGTGTAATTTTTTTAACAGTCTCAAAAATAGCAGAAGTTAACATAGGGTAAAAGTTCTCCTGTGTGTTTGATTTAATTTCCCTTTAGGTCAAGAATTGTGACATTGTAATGTATTACTGTCATCTTCCGGGGAAATGTAGACTGCTTGGTTATTTGGGGATAAGTAGAACAAAAACATGTTATGTTTCATAATAGTAGTTGTGCTCTAAAAAATTGCTAGTTCTAATTATTATGAACCGCTGAGCATAATTCCACTGAATATGTTCAGTGTCTGAATGCTGAATGGGATGCCAAGTTCTACTTAATTTGGAATTCATTAAATACTCATCATACTTGGCAACATATATCAGAGCGAATAGTTACAGTTGAAAACAAAATGACTTGGTAACTAGCAAATATCCTCCATTATGTGGTAGGCACAGAATCGAGCCAGTGTGTGCTGCTGGTTTTCTTTGTAATCTTAGGTTAGTGCCTTAAAGTTAATAATTTCCTAAGTTTGTCTTCATTCATTTCTACTACCTGTTACTCACTTGGCAGTGTTTCACCAAACTGAAGTACATCGTCAGTCTCCAACATTCACTGAGGTTAAGGGTACAGGGCACCTGCAAATGTGGAGGTAAAAGACCTAGATAGGACATTTTAATTAAATCCACAAATAACTGAATTCACAAAAGTCAAACCTGCAAATATGGATAGCTGACTGTACTTTGCTTGTAGACCCAAGAAGTGGTCTTTCAAGACTCTGGCCAGTTAAGAATCCATATTGTAGCATCATAGAAGAGTTTGTGTCAACCTTCATAATATCATCACCTTCCATTTGATTTGCTAAGTAACTGAAGAGGAAATACTTTTGTTCAGTAACAATTTAGAGCTTTCATTTTGGCGAGGTGATGAATCCACTCTGGATTTTAGAGAAGGCATCCAATGTTCTCAATCTGTCAACAAAACAGATTCAGCACTTTAGGTATTTCCTTTATAGTTCACAATGCAACCTTGGGTGAATGCATTGCCCCACTGAGATGTTAGCCACCAACCTCCACTGTATTGTTTCATCTAGATCCCCTGACTTGTCATCTGCAAGCCTTTTTGTTGAATACATACAAACTCAGAGAGCCATGAACAGTGGAATTGGGGAGCTCCATGGGAGAGAAACTTTATGTACTGGCTCTTCACACGCATATGACTATTATTCTTGAGTATTGCTTTGAATATTTAATATCTGATTTTCACTGAGGACCATCACTACCTGCATATTGATCAGTATTGCCTAGTTTTACGCAGCATGTATGCTAGTAACAGCTACAGATGAGCTGCAGTCCCTACGGGGTATTAACTACTTTCCAATTATCTTTCCTTTCATTGTAACAACAACACATGAAAAACTGTTAAAGAAAAATGGCATTGTGTACTTCTCTAAACATTTTCTCCCTTCTTGTTTTCTGCACACTATTTTTCTACACGTTCCTTTTCCATCTGCTTCACCATAGATTTTATAGGTTTGGTCCAACTGTTACATTCATTATCATAATTTTGGACAATTACGTCTCACAGACTTTTCACAAAATGTGATTATCAGGACAAGACAAAATTATTATCCCACAGTCTGCTTGTAAGTTTTGCTGAGGTATACTGGAATCCAGAATGCCTCACCTTCTCCTTTTATAGGTAACTTTATAATTTTATTGGATGTAAGGAAAAATAAAATACAGGAAGAAAAAATATGAATGTTTAAAATAACCAAAATCCAAATAATCAAATTTCTTAGCAGATGAAGAGTGTTTTTGAAGGAATTTTCATTTTTCCCGATTGACATTTAAAATATTGTTTTCTCTAGAAATCACCCAAGAGTGACTAAAGATATATACTCTATGATGGGTGCCGGCTTTACACAAAATAAACCCTTTTCCATCACATGAAAGCCATGTGGTTTTAAAATCTTAATTCAAGAAGTCTCCTTGTGCACAAAGTACACGTTGGGAATGGTAACTGTGTGGGCCAGCTATTGCTTGTGATTTATTTCAGAACACATCTCTCATTGCTGAAGGTTAACTCATCCCTGTATCTAGATATCAGAAAAAGTACAAAAATGCCACAGCAACAGGATTGAGATACAGCAGTCAAATCAAAAGACTGAGTTCAGAAACCCTCTATGCCTGCGTATTACTAAATTGCCTTCTCAGAGGCAATGTTTTTACATTGAATTTGACCCTCCAAACAGGTTGTTAAGAAAGGGTCATTCACATCAGATTTACTCACTTTGGAGTTTTGCCTGTAGGCTGTATGGAGAAATAGACTAAGAAAACATGTACAAGCGTCATATTTTGTTGCCTGTGGGATCTAAGAAAATGTGTGTGTGTGTGTGTGTGATTAATTTGATTTAAAATTCAAGGTACTACTTTATATCATTTAATTTTTCTGATTGAGTTACCTTGATTGGAATGCAAAAGTATTTCTGATATTGTGTGTGAGCATTCTCTGGGTATGGAACGTGCATGTCGTTCCTTCAGAATCATTTAAAATACAGAGTACATGTCTTCTGCCATAGTTCTGATACTTTTTAAATATGGTAATTTTTTAAAAGTAAAATGTGAGAAAGAGGGCACCTGGATTACCAATTTGTGTTCCTTTTCTCCCTTCTAGTCCCCCATCAGTACATCATCATTGTGAGGTATTCCTTTTGAATGAGTATCACTGAAGGATCTCATTCACTTCCACTCTTCCCCTAACTGTAACATTATTCAGAAATTTGCTCAAAATGTTGAAAAGGCCAGGTTGACAAAAGTATCCCTGTCTGAGTAAGGGAGATGTTCAAAGTCGTACCAACAAGCTACTATTCTTCCATATTTTGTTTTCTAACTGCCATGTAGTCAGTTCTCAGTCCATTGTGTCATTATGCTCCTGCTCCCCAAGTGTGTATATTATGCAGATGATACCACTTTGATGGCTGAAAGCAAGGAGGAGCCGAGGAGCCTTCTAGCCCAGGTGAAAGAAGAAAGTACAAAAGCTAGGTTGCAGTTAAATATTTAAACAAACAAGAATATGGCAACCAGACTCATTGATAACTGGCAAATAGAGGGAGAAAACATGGAGGCAGTGACAGGCTTTGTATTTCTAGGTGCAAAGATTACTGCAGACACAGACTGCAGCCAGGAAATCAGAAGACGTTTACTTCTTGGGAGGAGAGCAATGACTAATCTCGATAAAATAGTGAAGAGTAGAGACATCACACTGGCAATGAAGATCTGCATAGTTAAGCAATGGTATTCCCTTTAGTAATCTGTAGATGTGAGCTGGACCATAAGGAAGGCTGAGCAAAGGAAGATAGATGCTTTTGAACTGTGGTGTTGGAGGAAAATTCTGAGAGTGCCTTGGACCGCGAGAAGATCCAACCAGTCCATACTTCAGAAAATAAAGCCTGACTGCTCATTGGAGGGAAGGATATTAGAGGCAAAGATGAAGTACCTACTTTGGCCACATAATGAGAAGACAGGAAAGCTTAGAGAAGGCAATGATGCTGGGGAAAAAGAAAGGAAAAAGGAGAGGGGCCGGCCAAGGTAGATGGATGTTATCCTTGAAGTGCCTGGCTTGACTCTGAAGCTGGGGGTGGCCACAGCCAACAGGGAGCTCTGGCATGGGCTGGTCCATAAGGTCATGAAGAGTCAAAAGCGATTGAACGAATAAACAACAACAACAACAACACACACACATATATTTGTGTGTGTGTGTATAAAATATCTCATTGTAGCATGAAATCACATCAGCATTCTGTTTTGCACTGAAGTTAACTCAACATGCATATTTATTGGCTGTCATCAAGAACGTGGAAGGGAAGAAACAAACATGAACTTAAAAGTGCTTCAGATAGCGCATTAATTCCAAAATTAATTGTATAAACTATTCAAATTAAACCAGAAAGCAAACAGGGCAACACAGAGACCAGAGTGACACCATGCAATGACAACAAAATGACCCTAACTCTTTACAGCTGTACTAAGTACAGCATTGGCATGGATGCAAACTCTTGCTTCAGCATATCACTGTCTTTTTAAATTCTGCTGAAGTAGATACAGCATTTAGATTGCACATGCTGGATTTGGACAATTGAAATCAGAGATGGAAGTTTTCAATAAGTCATTGTGAGATGTTTATTGAGAATATAGAAATAGTAATAAAATTTATTTCATATGGCTATTATAATGGTAAATTAAATAAACACCATATAGCACAAACTAAACTGACAGTAACATTTCACATGATTTTTAAAAGCCTGTTCTATTAAAAGGAAGAACAGTCTTTAAAGTCTGATTCAGTAATCCCATTAATCTCATTACATTTCTTGAACCAAGTGGTATTGTCCTATTTAAATGAGGACAAATCACTCTGATTGCTGATTTATATTGGAAGAGCCCAGTGAACATGCTGCTTGCTCTAATTGAAGCTATTCAAAACTGCTTCACTGAAATTGGTTTATGCTTTGTATGTGATCCCTTGGAAGGGTGAGTCATGACTTCAGAGAAATGCGCCAAGCTGTTTCCCCACATAAGCCACACCAACCCGCCCTTGTTAAGTTACTAATTGTTAAAGAGTAAGGCAATTTTCTCTCTTTCTAGAATTGAAATGAGTAAGAAACATATCACAATGACCCCCAATGATTTTATTCTGAAGTACGATTTGTAATTTCTATATGCTGTTCTTATTACACCATATAGCACATATAAACAACATGCACTTCAGTTAAAGAAGAGATCAGGTCATACATTTGTTAAAGATAGCACCATTACTTAGGCGATCCCTCGTAGCTTGAGGATGATTGTCTTCCAGATGGGGTGTCTTGGTGGTGGGTCCATAGGTGGCTGTGGAGCCCTATTCATGATCCGCATGTGCTCCCACAGTGAGGACATCGGTTTCCAGATGGAAGGCACTCCTGGTCAGGGTTGGCTTGACATGCCTTTCTCTTGGCACATTTCTCCCTTTCGCCCTCCATTGGTGCCTCTTTGAATTCTTCAGCACTGTTGGTCACAGCTGACCTCCAGTTAGAGCACTCATGGGCCAGAGCTTCACAGTTCTCAGAGTCTATGCCACAGTTTTTGAGATTGGCTTTAAGCCCATCTTTAAATCTCTTTTCCCATTCTTGAGTTCAGAGTAGAGCAACTGCATTGGGAGATGGTGATTGGGCATTCGGACAATGTGGCCAGTCCAGCGGAGTTGATGGTGGAGGACCATCACTTCAATGCTGGTGGTCTTTGCTTCTTCCAGCACGCTGACATCCCAAGAGATTTGCAGGATTTTTTGGAGGCAGCGCTGATGGAATCATTCCAGGAGTTGCATATGACGTCTGTAGACAGTCCACATTTCACAGGTATAGCAGGGTTGGGAGGACAATGGCTTTATATACAAGCACCTTGGTATCCCTACGGATAGCACCATTATAATGTTTTTCTAAGATTTTTTACAGTTAATGGATAGAGTTTCAAGAGTGAGAATTACCTGAAAGATCAAAGCTTTGACTTCATTTTTAGTAAATGGGCATGAATTTCTAGTTAGGGCCTTTTTGACTCCACAAAGTAAATTCAGAGTGATCTTATCTTCAGTGAAGAGAAAGAGTTGAAAAAGGCAATCGAACAGCACTATTTTCACTAAGATGCTGGATCCCAAATGGATACTATATAATTATCATGAAGAATACTCTCTCTCGCTTTCTCTTCCACCTCAATATACTTGATTCGAATGGTGGATCTTTGTGAAAGTAGATGTCTTTAACATGTATCAAAAGTTACTCTGAGGAGGTGTTTTGAAGTTCTGAGTTGATCTATGCAGCACATAAACCCAATGCCGTACAGACCGATGACTTTATTCTTGTCTGCCTGATGTGCATTTAGCAGTTATTTACAAGAGGGATCCCCTCAAGTGGTAAAGGATGCCTGGTTGTCTCTTAACATCTACATTGGCTGGAAGGGTCTGATAGGAGCCTTGCCAATCATAGTAGAACAAAAGCACAATTGTTTATGGGTGTCATCCTGTTGAGCTGTAATGAAATGATTTCAACTTGGAACTTCCACAGAGCTGTGATTTATTTATCATGTCAGAAGTGAATTGAGGGTACATTTATAATGTATTTTAAAAGAAACAAACGAAGTTAAAAACTTAGAATTACTGTATATTAGATTTCCTTTGACCAGAAACTGGCCATTTGGAGTGCCTCTAGTGTGGCTGTAAGAAGGTCCTCCATTGTGCATGTGGCAGGGCACAGGCTGCATTGTTGTAAGTGGTCTGTGGTTTGCTTTCTCCACACTTGCATGTCATGGACTCCACTTTGTAGCCCCATTTCTTAAGGTTAGCTCTGCATCTTGTGGTCTCACAGCACAGTCTGTTCAGTGCCTTCCAAGTCACCCATTCTTCTTTGTGCCCAGGAGGGAGTTTCTCATCAAGTATTAGCCACTGATAGAGGTTCTGGGTTTTTCCTGCCATTTTTGGACTCTCACTTGCTGAGGTGTTCCTGCAAGTATCTCTGTAGATCTTAGAAAGCAATATCTTGATTTAAATCATTGACATGCTGGCTGATATCCAAACAGAGGATGGGCCCAGAGATGCCACTGTGATGAATCGAGGTGAAAATCAATTGTGATTGCCAGTTTGTGTGTCACCTTTTTCTGTTCAGAATGAGCAAATGTTTCAGGAGATTTGGGGGCGGGGGGGGGGGAGAGAGAAAGAGGCCAGCTTAGCTGTGATAATCAATTGTATTCCCTTTTTTGTCCTTACACCTCATTTGGTTATCTGCATCTCTCCCCAAATCAACAACTACTCACATCTGAAAACAAAACTAGAAGTGACTTCTCATTTATATAGTTGTGGACAATTTTAATGGGTGGAGGAATAGATCTGTACTCTTAAAAGTCTTGTGAGAGTCTCCAGAAGTAACAATTTACAGGCATGGAGGAAATTGTCACCTAAAAATTGGTGGTTAGTAGGGGTCTTAGAGCCACAGTAATTTCCCTGGAGGGCCAATGTAACCCACAGGTTGCAGTTTCTCCCCTGTCTAAAATAACATACCGACACAACTGTGCAGGGTTAAATTGTACAGTGAGATGCATACCTTATGTCTTTGCTGTGAAATTCTCTCCAATGCTGTTTGATTCTGTTGTGTATGTGGACTGTTACCTATCTTTCCAAGTTTCTTTTTTCTTATCATAAGTTTGTAAAGAGTGCCAGAGATTATGATTCTCATATGTAACTATTTTCTTCCCAGAATGCCTATGTGAATATAAATCGCATCATGTCGGTCGCATCAAGGCTTTCAGAGGCTGGCCATTATGCTTCTCAGCAAATTAAGCAGATATCTACACAGTTAGATCAAGAGTGGAAAAGCTTTGCTGCAGCACTGGATGAGCGCAGCACCATCCTAGCCATGTCTGCTGTCTTTCACCAGAAGGCTGAACAGGTGTGTAATTTTTAATGGGTCTGATCAATCTCTGCCCTCTGGGGGCTTTGGGGTATTTGTCTGGTTAAGATAATTATCAACACCATTAATTGAATTGGTATGTCATGGTTTTTTGTTTTTTTTTTAATATGTTGGAAATATGGATGGATACATCAGCTCAGCAATTAGGTGCTAAAGCCTTCTGTTTGTTCCTGGAGTAATTCATTGATGCTGTATAATGTTTTGCACATCTATAGTGTTGAACCAGAAGATATAGCACAAAAACAAAAGGACAAATATAAAACAGTAAAAATTAAACAGTGCAAAAGACAACCATGAAAATGAAACCATAAAAATGAACAAAATCTGGTTATCACTATTTAAAAATTACCAGAATCAAGATAGTAAATAAGGAACATCACTCAAAAACAGGAGACCTCCAGACAGCAAACAATCAAATTGCCAGTTAACACCTCCCAAACAGAGGATGCCTTCAGGTAACATCAGCCAGCTACCCTCACCAATTGTCTTTTCAGCTTCATGGCTACTCAATGCTATTCAAGCTTGCTAATTGCAACATTCACACTTGTTTTACACAAACAAGGATTCTTTCTCACACCTTGGACATGCCACAGATATATATACACTCCACTTGCCTCACCTCCAACAGACCTTTGAAGATGCAAGCCACAGATGCAGGCGAAACATCAGGAGAGAAGGCTACTGGAATGTGGTAAACTCACAGCAACCCAATTAGATTTTGAACAAAAAAGATGCTGGCTGTGGAACCTACATGAAGCGTTTGGCCCATTGTAGGAATTTTTAAAGTGAAAGTTGAAAGTGCAATGACCCAGGACTGTCTATGGACAACAGATATGTCTTTGTGTGATATGTGCTGTGTTTAATAATGTTTAATGTTTTATCAGGGGAGGGTCAATTTTGATGTTTTATACTGTTTTTATTGATGGCATTGAATTGTTGCCAACACTGTGAACCGCCCTGAGTTCCCTTCGGGGTTGAGAAGGGTGGTATACAAATATTGCAAATGAAGAAAATAAACAAATAAGTAGGCTAGTGGGACAATGGCATGGATACATTTATACTGTATACTTGGATAAATACATAGATAAGTTTGGGGATGGATTTTCTAAAAATGAAATGTGCATGAGATTTGGAAATTGCAACTAATTTTAGAAGTACATTAAAATAAGAACAAAAGAAAAGTCCTGATAGATCAGATCATAGACCCCTCTAGTCCATCCTCCTCCTCCTCCTCCTCCTCCTCCTCCTCCTCCTCCTCCCCCCTTCTTCTTCTTCTTCTTCTTCTTTGGTTACACCCCCTTTGAAATCTCAGGTATGCAGTTTGCTGGTCATTCTGGACTCTGCCTTAAACCTGGAAGCCCTGGTGGTGGCGGTGACTAGGTCGGCTTATTCACAACTAAAGCTTGTGTGCTAACTGTGCCCATTCCAAGAGAGATCGCCCCTGGGCATAGTGATACATGTGATTGTTACATCCAGATTAGACTATTGCAACTCTCTCTGCATAGGTCTGCCCTTGAAGAGTTCTCGGAAACTACAGTTTGTACAAAGATCAACAGCCAGGCTTCTAAAGGGAGCTGATCTCAGGGAACATACTATGCCGTTACTGAGACAGCTCCACTAGCTGCCTATTAGTTTCTGAGCCTAATTCAAGGTGCTGGTTCTTACCTATAAAGCCCTAAATGATTTTGGTCCAGGCTACCTGGAACACCATGTACCCTTATATATACTGGGGCAAGTATTGAAGTAATGCAAGCAGACAATTTTCTCCACATGGGCCCTCTCAAGGCTCCTTCTCAGGGCAAGCAGTGGCACTTTGGAACTCCTTTTTGGAAGAATTAAGAGCTGCCCCTTCCCTGCTGAGTTTCCAGAAGGTGGTAAAGAAAGCCTTTAACTAAAGATTGTATTTGTCAGACCTGGGTTGCGTTTTAAGGTTTATCATTTGTATATTGAAGGAGTTTATATGGGGGAGGTGATAATGGGTATAATTATTTTCCCTTTCTGCTGTTAAGAATTGAATCACCCTAAGAAATTCCCTGGCAGTTGATTTTGAGCAGAAAGGGGGCATTATTTTTGCACACACAGCACCATACGTGATGAAAACTATAGGTTTTGGAAAAAAATAGTGAGTACAGTAATCAATGCCTGTTAGCTATGGCAACTCTAAGGAACACAGCTTGGAAAAGTTAGTTGGGTGATAATATTAGCTGTCCAAAAAGTAACTTTTCTGAGTTCATAGGATGAATGGTAAACAGCCAACGATGCATTTGTGTGCTTTAAGTTGGAAACTGTAGGTGACAAAATGTAGCATTTTTGTTGCTTTATTCTGTTGCTCTCTCTCTTCTGTTTTTTCCCTCCAGATTGGCTCTGTTGATTTTTTATGTTCAAAGTTGTTGTTTTTTTCACATTCACCTGATGTAAATGCTTGTGTTGTGAGTCTTATGTGTCTGTTTGGCTGTTTTGTAAGACTTGGCTGTAGGCAGTCGATTTTGTCATGTACCCTGAGTAGAAGTTGAAAGTATGTAAGTAAATGTGGCAAATCTGTAGCTTTCTGAGATACAAGGGTGTTTATAGTCGGTGATGTAATGCCATGGTAGTGTCCAGAAAGTGGACATTTTGTGTGAAATTATTTGGGCTCAAGTAAATAGCGTTTGGGGGAATTTCTCAAGTCCTGATGGAACTTAGCTATGACCTCCAATCTATGAGCTGACATAATAAATGAGTCATTATACCTCTGTGCTTTCATCACCTGTCCAAAGGAAGATTAGTCCTATTAGTCTGCCACATTCAAATTAAAAAGGTCTTTGATTGTTATTTAAGCAGCACTTACAACAAAAAAGAAGAGAAAATACTGTTGTTGCAATACTGAGTATCTCCTGTTCTGTAACACACACACACACACCCGCTTTATCACTCAACCTGGCCTTTTACGTCCAAAATCCCTTACTGGATCTGAGTCCAGGTAGCACTATAACAGACAAGCAGATAAGTTGGTCATTGGATTTGGCCTGGTAATGAACGACTATTTCTCTTTATTCAATCTTAATAAAAAAAATAACCAGAGATGTAGAAAATGTTATTAAAATACAGTAAATATTTAATGTATGACAAATACGTTAAGCATCTAGCTTGCTGTTGGCTCCATAAACATTATAATGTAACAGTTCAAATAATGTAACTCTTCTTCCTCAACTCTTTCCACATGTTCAACTCCAGTCAAAACTCACTTCCTGTCTCTTTTTATTTCTAGCTTTTAGCATTTCTCTACCCCTCCCCTGACTGTATCTGTCCCTAGCATCTTGCTCTAACCCAGTGGTTCCCAACCTTTTTTTGACCAGGGACCACTTTGACCAGGGACCACTTGATCAGGAACCACTCTCCAACATTAGTACCATAAGGGTTACAAATAAGTTTTTTTGTCAACTTTAGATTTGGTTTGGGGTGCTGATTAAGAAAATGGCATTGGCTAGACCACATCAGCTCTAGTTTCTTATAGAGAACATAAGCCATGGTCAGCGACAGGGAAGGAGTGGCAGGCAGTGTGAAAGAAGTGGAAATAAAATGAATAAAATAAAAGAAATATAGAGGAAGGATACTCGTGGACCAGATTTTCGTCCTTGTGGCCCACTGGTGGTCCACGGCCCACAGATTAAGAACAACTGCTCTAACCAGTAAGCAGGCAAATCTATGGTGTTATATTCTTTCCTCCATAGCTCTCCAATATCATTCTGCGAAGGTCTCTTCACAATGAGAGACTCCAACTTATCCCAGACTTGATTTTGCTGGTGACGCTCCCGGATCTTCATCTTTGCTGGATGTGTTTTTAACATAACCTGTGTCCACAAGAAAAGGAAAACTATGTTTTGATTATAGGAGGATTATAAATGTGATATTGATCTTTAATCTGTGACTGTACCTATGAGAGATCCTAAAAAGAAGCCTCCAATTGCTCACCTGCAGAACATTTTTATTCCTTGCTCCAGAGGAAACCACAATAGGTGCTCTATGTTGCCATACACATCATCTTCTCTACTTCTGAGCTCATGGGATTTCACATTAAGAGCAGTTTCTTGAAATGATTTCTGCCTTTTCTTCCAGAATCATGTCTGTAAGGTGATACTGGAGGACACTGTTTGGAACTGTAGTTTTTGGCTTCCACTGTCCCATAGGCATATATTTTATTCATTATTTGACTATGCCAGGATATAGAGCCACAAAATCCTATCCTTTTTTAAACTTATAATACTGAGGCTGTGATCCTGTCACTTTAATTTAGGTATAAATCCCATTTAGAATATAGTAGTAGGAGATACTACAAGTAAACCTGCATAGGATCAGGTTGAACTTAATAAAAACTCTTTAAAAATTAAAGAAGTCTCTAGTTCAATGCTTTATTGTCTGATATAGCAAGAAAAACCTTGGCAACACCCACCATCACACAATGTCAGGAATTGCTACAATTTTTGTGCCATGTTATCATGTTTTCGTCATTTTCTCGAACCATATTCTAGACTGACAGCCAATGACTCATGGATCAGCACTGGTCTGCAGACCACCACTTTCATTATTCTGTCTAATATCTGTCTGCTAGGAATGAATTTTGGAATCTAGTCTCAACAGGAAACTCCATTGCATTGATGCTGTCTGCTCAGGGTCAGACTTTCACACAATCAGAGAAGGAGGAACTTGGACTTTAGAGACATTATGGTAAAATTTGATTATTGTAAAATCACTCCACATATTGGCACATTTTTAAAAACCATGAAAAAATAAAATAAAAGGAGAAAAATATGTAGGACACCACATTAACATGACTATGTTATTTATAAAATCATTATTAAGATAGAAATACAACAATCAAATGAAACAAAATTAAATATCTACTAAGAATACTACTAAACGAAACCACAACCTGAATACTACCAAGAATTCCTGCTACTCTACCCCCTTCACCATACACAGAAAATAAAGCTTAAAATTGA